CAACTCTGAGGAACCATCCCAGACTGAGGTGTCAATAGAGGAGGTTTTGTAACAAATTGAGAAATTAAACAGTAATACATCACCAGGACCAGATGATATTCACTCAAGAGTTCTGAAGGAACTCAAATATGAAATTACAGAACTACTAACTGTGGTATGTAACCTATTGCTTAAATCAGCATCTGTACCAGATGACTGGTGGATAGCTAATGCAACACTGAATTAAAAAAAAAAAAGGCTTCAGAAGCAATCCTGGCAATTTACAGGCCAGTAAGCCTAACTTCAGTACCAGACAAATTGGATGAAACTATAGTAAAGAACAGAATTATCAGACACATAGATGAACATAATTAGTTGGGAAAGAGCCAACATTGCTTTTGTAAAGGAAAATCATGCCTCACCAATCTATTTGAATTCTTTGAGGGGGTCAGCAAACATGGGAACAAGGGTGATCCAGTGGATGTAGTGTACTTGGATATTCAGAAAGCATTTGACAAGGTCACTCACCAAAGGCTCTTAAGCAAAGTAGGCAGACATGGGATAAGAGGGAAGGTCCTCTTGTGGATCAATAACTGGTTAAAAGATAGGAAACAAAGGGTCATTTTTTACAGTGGCGAGAGGTATCCCCCTGGGGTCTGTACTGGGCCCAGTCCTATTCAGCATATTCATAAATGATCTAGAAAAAGGGGGAGAAAGTGAGGTGGCAAAGTTTGCAGATGGTAAAAAATTATTCAAGAGTTAAGTCCAAAACTGACTGTGAAGAGTTACAAAGGGATCTCACAAAACTTGGTGACTGGGCAACAAAATGGCAGGTGAAATTCAGTGTCGATAAATGTGAAGTAGTGTACATTGGAAAACATGATCTCAATTATACATACAAAATGATGGGATCTAAATGAGCTATTAGCACTCAAGAAAGAGCTCTTGGTGTCAATGGGGATAGTTCTCTGAAAACATTTGCTCAATGTGCAGCAGCCATCAAAACGCTAACAATGTTAGGAACCATTAGAAAAGGGATAGATAATAAGAGGGAAAAGATCATGTCACTATATATATCCATGGTACACCCACACCTTGAACACTGTGTGCAGTTCTGGTCACCCCCATCTTAAAAAAGCTATATTAGAATTAGAAAAAGTACAGAGAAGGGCAACCACTATGAGTAGGGGTACGGAACAGCTTCCATATGAGAAGAGATTAGAAAGACTGGGACTGTTCAGCTTGAAAAAGGGATGACTACGGGGGGAATATGATAGAGGTCTAAAAAATCATGAATGGTGTGGAGAAAGTGAATGAGGAAGTGTTATTTATTCCTTCACATAACACAAGAACCAGAAGTCACCCAATGAAATTAATAGGCAGCAGGTTTAAAACAAACCTAAGGGAGCACTTCTTCACAGTGCACAGTCAATTTGTAGAACTCATTGCCAGGGGATGTTTTAAAGGTCAAAAGTATAACTGGATTCAAAAAAGAATTAGATAAGTTCCTGGAGGATAAGTCCATTAATGGCTGTTAGCCAAGATGGTCAGGAATTCAACCCATGCTCTGGGTGTCCCTAAGCCTCTGCCTGCCAGAAGCTGGAACTGGGTGCCAGGGGATGTGGGTCACTTGATAAATTGCCCTGTTCTGTTCAGTCCCTCTTGAAGCATCTGGCACTGACCACTGTCGTGAGACAGGATACTGGGCTAAATGGACGATTGATCTGACCCAGTATGCCCATTCTTATGTTCTAATTTAAATCAAGGCTGAAATTAGCCCACATTGATTCCTATTAAAGTTGCAAACACCTTCTGTTTGTTAGTAAGATGTTTTAGTACAACTGACAAAAACACAAGGAAATTAAACAATAACTGTTTGAAGTCATTTTACAGAACTGATCTCAACTTACAAATGCAAGGAAATTCAGTTCTGAGACTAACATTCATTGTATCTCAGTACTACAAAAGTCTCTAAATAGCAAATAACCTTTCAATTATATTTGTTCACTAAAGACAACCACGTGAGGTTAAGGATGGACTTTTAGCTTTAAATCTGATTTTCCCCAACCCTGTTTTTTCTGACCCTACTTTAAAAATACGTAGAACCATTGGCTTAATTTAATTTATTACAAGATTTTTTTTTAATCTAAATGATTGTTATCTTTAGAAATGTCTTTAGGATAAAAGTGAATAAAAGATTGCAAGCCATGATCAATTTACTTTAAATCTATTTTAGTATATCTAAGAATCCATCTATGTAATATGGCCTGCTCCAAAGTCTTTTCATTGACTTCAATGGACTTTGATTCAGGGTCCATCTGAGCAGCAGATATTGTGCATCAGATTATTTTATCAAGTAACATAGTATGGTGTGTAGATAAGATATGTTACACAGTGATGAGCCTGTTGAAGAGGAAATTGGACCAGCCCCTCCTGTGCCATAATTAATTAGCTCCTTCCCAACCTGAGGGGGGGTGGGAGGCTAAGAGGGATCAGCTGATACTTTAATAGGCACTTGGGCCTTAAAAAAGGACTCAGGGAACTTGCTCTGGGAAAAGAAAGATAGTGAGCAAGCAGAAAGGCTGGCTCCTGTGGAAGGCTTTGGGGTGGGGTCTGTAGGGGAATGGTATTCCAGGTGAGCCAGTCTGGTGCTGAGTGTTTGATACTAGAAGAAGGGGAAATACTCAAAGGTAGCCCAGAAAGGGGCTGAGAACAGAGTATTTTTAAGAACTGTTTTGTTTTTTGGGACCTTAGTGGAATCTTGCAACCCCTGCCAGGGGTTAAGTTTGTTTGATATGGGTGGAGGGCTAAGACACATGTTTAGCACTGATCTTTGTGTGGAGTTTATTAAAAAGCCCTGAAGGAGAGGCATCCTAAAGTAGGGTGCCTGCAGCCCATGGAGGGGTGCTTGAGTAGCAGGTGTCCTGTTACACTGGAACACTCCTGTTGTGTGATCCCAAGGACTTGTTGCCAGTTTAGCAGGAGTGTGATGGCTGCTTTTTTGGGCCCTATCCCTTGTGAGGTTGAGTAAATGCATCCATTAGGAGCTTAGGATGCTTAATAACTAGCAGTATAGAATCTTTACTTTTATTTTTTAAATAGCATGCAATAAGTTAAAGGGCAAATCCACTTCCCAGCTCTCAAACCAAGAATCTGAAGTCAAGGAAGATATGAATGGGGGAAGGAATCTTCCCCACTTATCCACGTGGAGCAGCTGCTACTGCAATCTAGAGGATGCAGTATGCCTCTGGGACCAGTATTTAAAGGTGTTTGGGTGCCTAAGGATACAGATAAATGCATATTGGGATTTTTCAAAAGTGCCTAGACTCCCATTGAAATCAATCTGCACTCTGATCTTTCTGAATGAAGACTTCCCCAGAGCAGCAGGTCATCTGACCCTGGGCCTGCCTTGCTCTGATACCCTTTAATCCATAAAAGCTTCCTGTGTATGTGCCCTCCATCTCCCCTGCCCTTTCTTGCACAGCAGAGATGCATGGGGTCTTCTGCTAGGAGACTCTCTGAAGGGTAGAGAGGCAGAGCCAGGATTTGTCCCTAAAGGCACACAATTCTATTTGCTTGTACTTCTATCTTTCTAGAGGGATGACTAGAAATTGCTTGTTGGCTGAGAGTTTACAGCTGATCAACTCTGGCCTCACCCCTACAGTCACTGCCAGAGGGTGGCAACAGGTATTTTAGGACTCTGCCTTTTAGGCTGCACTCTGAGTTCTTGTGATATAGTAAAGCTGATTATATTTTAAGAAGTCCTTACTGCAGCAATAACAGGAGCAGGAAACACCACCAAAAATACTAGCTTCGATGTAAATTATCCTACCCAGAGGGGAAACGGTGGGCCCTTTAAAAACAAGGCTGCTGGTGTTGCTAGAAATGAACAGGCCAGTACTTCAAACTATCTGACGTGTTTTGTCCTCCCTTGGCAAGCTGGAATGTTGTTGATTTCCTTGCAAGCACTGGGGCACTTGTGTGAAATTGATTAGCTCAGCAGTCCTTATATACACACACTGAAAATACAACACTTCCCCTTTAAACTACAGGCTGAAAAAGGTGTTAAACATTAGGCACCTCTACTGAACCCCGTTTAACACAGAATTTGTGAAAGGTTCACCTCGAAAGAGAACAATGAAGGATGGTTAAAAGATTGTAAAAGCAAATTATTTTTTCACCCCCCCCTTCCCCTAACACACACCGGGTTACTAATTAATGGCATAATGAACCATCTAGGCAGGCAGGTGCAGTACTTTGACTCCCAGGCCATCAGCACTGGGGTTATTGTCACCCCCAAGAGACCTTCTCGTCTATTGAGTGTTTCCCATGCGGCGGAGGAAAGCATTCAGCTGTTGCCTGTGGAGGGCCGGGGAATGCTGGGCTTTGCTGATGTAACAGGCTCCCTGCACTTTTCATTCAGCTCTGGTTGGCTGCAAGCTGGCAGAGAGCCTGAGCGACGCCTCCAACTCCGATGAGGTCATCCCAGCTCCCCTTTTTGGGTACTACAGGCAAGATCTGCGCTGCCTCAGCATTAAGGTCAGCTGGCGGCTCCCCCGGAAAAACGGATGCCTCTAGGAAGCCCCCTGCCGCCCATCCCCCCAGCCCAGACCCCGCGATTCCCTTAAAGCGAAAGGAGGAGCAGGAGGGGATTGACCGCAATGGATGTTCCCGTTTGCTCGGATTTGAACGCTGTTTGCGAGTCGGTTGCAAGAAATTGCGGAGCTGCCAGTGCCCGGCGCCCGCCTAACTAGCGCCGGGGAGGAGGCAACTCCCGAGCTCGCCGCTGTCAGCAGCGACACGGCTCGCTCAGCCCGCTCCCCAATTCGTACCCCCGCCCCCATCCCCGGGCGGGGATGCAGCGGCCCCGCAGAGAGCGGCGCGGGCTCCATCAGCTCCCAGTCCCCGGAGACTGGCTGCTGCGGGACAAGCGGATCCCGAAGTAGGGTTCGCAGCTCACCCCACGCGCCGAGTGGCGGGAAGAGCAAAGGTTTCCCGCGCTGGGCGCGCTCCAGCCCGCCCTTCAGCACTCGGGCAGCTCCCTGCACGCCGGGCCGGGGACAAACTCCCACGGATGCGATGGCAGAGTAACTCCGGGGCTCGCTGAGCGCCCAGTGGCTGGTCTGGCCTGCGGCGCGTCCCTCTCCCCACCCGACAGCCAGGCCGGAGCCGGAGTCCCGCCGCAGCTCCCTGTTGCGGCTCCCGATGCCCTTTCGGCTCCGCAGGGTTCCCCGCCCGCGGCCCGAGAAGAAACCCGGAGAGAAACTTCAGCACCCGGACAGCTCCCATCGAGACGCGGGGACAGCAGCACCGCCCCGCGGGTGTGTCAAGCCAAGCCCGGCCCCGGTGGGAGCCGTGACCCCGGGAGGATGAGGGCAGCGATCTGGACCTGATTCTACCCGCGCCAGCACAGCGCTGGGGAGCTGACCTTCCTCCGCCGGCTGTGCTGCTACCTATTCGGCCGCTCCATTTGAATGCCTGCTTTGCCTGGGAGTCTTCCCCTCTTCCACTAATTCAACCGCCCCCCCCCCCTTGCATATTTTCTGGAGACGGGGGGCTGATATCTGTGCAAAGAGCCTGCTCTGGCTGCCGTTTGGTTTGGCAGTTACAAGGCTGGAGGGTGCCTGGGTAGTGTATTGTACCAATGCAGCAACCCCGATGAGCTGCAGCGTTAGAAAGAAACCCAGGATTGACTCTGCTGGTGGGGGGGTGAAAAAACACCCCCACAACTTTGGCATCCAGGAAAAGCGTGTCCCCCACTACCCCACCCCACTCCAGCCAAGCTTCCTTCTTCGGCGACCATAGAAAGACATTTCCCATCCTATGTAGCTGAGGGTAAAAGCGTACCCTGGGGGCAGCGCCACATCTGGCAGGGATTTGGGGGTTTAAATCCAGTGTCCGCCGCAATCAACAATGGCAAATGAACCGGTGATTTTGAATGTTTATGATATGGTGAGTATGAAACAATATGATGGGGGTGGGGGAATGACAGCGTGCGATTGGTCGCAGAAAGACCAAGATGAGGGACCTAGCATCTAGCCCCGGAGAGGCTGAATTTTCCAAGCTTTTCTTGTTCTGGCTGACGGGGGTGGTGCTGGCTCTGGCTTTTTTTGTAGCATATCACAGCGGATTAAAGGTAAAACTGTGCTGGATTTTCTGTAGATTAGTGAAATTGACTTTTCAATTTACGAAGCCGCAGCTAGAGAGAGAGAGAGGCGCGATCGCCTCTCCTATTCCTAGAGCTAGATGCCCTTGACTTTCAAGGCTATCAAGCATCAGGCTGGAGAGAGAGCCCTGGGGGGAGGAAAAACAGTTTCCAAAATATTCCTTTAGTGTTGTTAAAACTAACAACCCAAATCCGAATCTCGCATGTTTGGAACAGTTGAACAGAGACTGTCATTAGGAAAAGGCTTGAAGAAATGACCTGGGTAATTTTTTTTAAGGTGAATAGTAATTGCTTGAGTAATAAGCAATTTTAACTGATAAAGCTTCGGCATGGGAAGTGAAGTATTCTGCACTCCATGATCATGCCTGAGAATGTTCTCTTAAAGTTCACAGCATATTTAACAGCTCTCCTTACCATTCCTTTGGGGGGGCGGGGGGAGAGGAAGGAGGAATTATTTGTGTTAAAATCAATAAACAAAGCAGAAATCTCAAATAAACTCATGGTACAACTCAAAACCATAAGAGGGCTTTGAACAAACCATTTTATTTATGGTTCCCACATACACTCATGAGAGTTGTACTGAGCTCCCTCTTAAACGATTGGCATTGAGTAGCATTCAGAGTGGGGACATTTTGATGGGGAAGCATTTCACCCGATTTGTCTTTTATAAGCCAAGAATATGAAATTCCATCAGTCCCACAATTTTTAATTAACTTTTCTGTGGAATATATCACTTTATTAGGCCCAACATCTGACTTGATCATAACTATCCAATCCCACACTTTAAGAATTTATGGCATGACACTTCATTTTAACTCCATACAGTGGTAATTAACACTAACTTTTAACAGAGTCCATGGAACATATAACACTCATATGCCAAATGAATTATGATGAGGAGGTTCATAATGAATGCCAAAAATAGTAATAATGGGACACTTTAAATGAAGTGTTGGCATTTACAGCAAAGATTAAGTGATTCTCTGTCAGCTGGGAAGCCTTAAAGCACTCCTGTTGGGGGAGAAAAGTGCTATTTAAACTGTAACACCTAGATCTAAGGACACAGAGGAATCCAGCTAACTTGGCATATACAATACTGAGCCTCACCTGAAGGCTCTCTCTGTTTTATGAACCACGCTGACATACTTTCATTTCTTTTGGAATGCACTCTGCTGTAGTCCATGTTTGATTGGTTGGCATCCCAAAACAGTGCCTTATTTGTGAGACTGTAGTAGGAATCGTTCTATCTAATGCCCTGGAAAGGTGAAGTGTCAGAGGATGGTTCATTCCAGAAAGATTCAGACCAACACCACCTCCATTTGGTTCCTTCATTTTTTTAGTAAGTGAATTCCCTGAGAAGGGTGTCAGCTTGACAGCCCTGCAGGGTGAATTCTGCTGATTCTCCTTCCCAATGTTACAGCATGGGCAGCAGTGTAAGCTTTCCTTTGGTGCCCCATTCTCAGTATGCCTCAAACCTGAGCTGAAAGGATCGCCTCCAAAGGTGAGGGGAACCCAGTTTCCATGGCCCATTCAGTCCTTGACTGTTCTTCTGTGATTGTCACCAAAGATGATGCCTATTAAGGGCTTTTTTTAACTCTGCCAGTTTTGTGTTGTGATGTGTATGCCTGTCCACAGGGAACTGTGCTGAGGCCACAAATTTAATTCAGACTAAACAAATTTTTGATCTCCACCAAACTGTGAAAGTCTCCATACCTCATTATTAATCCCCTGGGTTTCCCCTAACTTAATGACTGTACATAGAAAGCATTCTGGTTTCATATTCCAACTGCTTGCCTTATTACTGAGTCGCATACAATTCAGTTTCTATATTATAACTGCTGGGGCTACATTCTTTTGACTGGTGCTATGATTTTAATGCCATACAGCATGGGATATAGCCATGCAGTTCATTACATTGTGGTGGGGAGTTATGGGGCAGCAGGGAAACAATTGCACACATAAATAACTGTTTTTAAAGTGGCATTAATAAAAGGGGGGGAAAGGCAGCTGGGGATAACAATTAACTAGAATTTAAAGCTCTGCTTTCTTGACAAAGAACATGACCCCAGCATGGCATCAGGGAGTACTTTAGCTACAGGAAAGCTTAGCTTTGGGGCAAAAGTTCAATTAAGAACCCTCAGCGCAGATATGAAATATCCTCTTTGTGTAGTTTTGAGTATCGAACGATTTTTTCCCAGCACAAAATAATTGAGCAAAAATTGTTCAGTGTTTCCAAGTACTCAACTTACTATCAATAAAAGCAATTCTACCCACCTACAATATAGATGGGGATTGAATTATATATTGTTTCTGCCTAAAGAGCACAAAAAAATAGGAGGATGGAGAATTTACCTATTGAGACAGAAAACTTGAAAAATAGAATAGGTGGGCTGTTAACCTACTGATTTCAAAACATGAATCTAAAGTGATTGCATGGCTCAGCGACCGGTCATGGGGTTCAGAATCTTTTAACTGCCACATGCCCAGTTTGAAACTGTTTGAGAGTGTAGTCGATGGATACATGAAATGAGTTGTGCAAGTTCTGAAGGGGATGGCTGCTGCCTAGATAGTACTGCTCCTTTAAAAGGGTAAATCAGGGCACCTTTCAGATTAAGATGGGGAGAAAAAAATTAAACTATTTAGTTCAGCCCAAACATTAGTGAGATTGTAAGATAACTTGCATCAACCAGTCCATCTCTGGGTCTATTGAATGTCTGGGAATTTCCTTTAAGTATTTGTGGCTTATTTTGAGATGATCAGCTAAATCAACATAACTAACTTTTAATAATGATCAAGATACTAAATCAAAGGTGTAAGATTGCAAATATTTGAAAGTATTTAACTCTGACAGGCTAACTACATTGACATGCCAAAACACTTCTCTAAAGAATAGTCAGTTTTGCACAGATTAAGGTCATCAGACAATCTCATAATGTTTTCAGTCAGTTACATGGCACATGTCTGCTGTTAAATTAACAGCTGTCCATGTATATCATTGCTCTCTTGCTTTATCTTTAAAATTGTCATGATTCTCCACTGCCTTGCACCTTGTGTCTAGCAGAAAAATGCTACCAATCTGGCCTGATGGCATTTGGTACCCACTGTGCCCTGGTGCCAATAATTACACCAGGTGCAGTGCGATGGCGAATCAGGCCTGGTGGCTGCAGTAAATGTAGAACTGTAATGCTTGATCTCTGTATTTTCTGAAAACATGGGCCTGAGTTTCCTCTCAGTTACACTAGTGTCGTTCCATTGATTTCACTGGATTTACTCCTGATTCTCATGGGAGTAAATGAGAATCCAGTGTGTTCTAGGCAAACTTGATCTTACATTTTCCCCATGATCACAACCTTCAAAATGATAGCCAGAATGTAATTATTTCACTTTGGGGAGCCATTGGCTTCTTTGCATTTTCCAGGTATCCTTTAATCAATTGTAATCCAAGTGGCTGATAGTCAATAATTGATAACAAGGGGCTGACACTGAAAATCTATGCATAAGTCTCTCATTTGCTTAGCTGATTATAGAATGATAGTGTCTTTTATCTAGGTTCTTATATAGCACCCATCACTCTCTTTGAGTGGCTCATGAAATCGCAAAGCGAACACACACATTTTTTTCTCTCCACTGCAGTCAACCAGGCCTAGGTTTGTTTGTGTGTGTGTATGTGTATATATATATTTGTGGTATTATTGTGGGAAGCCAACGCTGAAGAAGGGATTGCATATTGCTCTGAAGGTGCTGAGGTTTGTGGTCATCCTCATCTTTTCCAGAAGTCAGTTCCAGAGGCACAGGTCGGTTGCCAAGAAAGCTCTGTCTTCTGTAGATATGAATCTCACTCTCATGTTCCATTGTTCCCATGAAAGGTAGCTGTTGTGGGAAGTCATGTGCAGGGGGAGGCAGTTTGTCAGGTTAGACTTGAAGATGAGAGCCAAAACTTTGAGTGATGTGGTATTCAAAGGAAAGATAGTTAAGAGATTAATTCTGGAGTGATGTAGTTTCTGTGTTCTGTGTTACTGAGAAAGGAGCTGCTGTTCTATACCAGTTGCTGCTTTTTTAAGGTTGTTGGTTTCATATGTAGGTACAGAAAACTGCAGCAATCAATCCTTGAGGTCACAAATGCATCAACTACTCTGGCTAAATCTGAAGCTGACAGCATGGGGTGCAGTCTCCTGGCCAGCTGCAGGTGGAAAAAGGCATTTTTCACAGCTATGGCTAGTTGTGTCTTCAGAAGCCCTGAAGGGTGCAGGTGGAGACTGAGGGTGTAGACTGTCTTAACGATCTGAAGGCAGATGTATCCAGTGGAGGGTGATATTCTAAAGGTGGTAAGTTCTTTCCACACTATGCTTACCACTTTAGTCTTTCCACCATTCAGTTTCAGCCAGATATTCTTCATGGATTGGCATTGGATAAAATGATGGAATGGAACTAGACATCCCTCTTCTCTGGTATATTTGAGAGAGGAAATCAATCAAGGAAAGTAAAGAGAAAGCAGTTAAACTGAGTCCATTAGTTCAAGTAGAAGGAATCAAAAGCATGCTGGGTATCTGATCTAAACCTCACAATAATAAACCAGTTAGAAGGCTAAAAGAGTAAGTGGCATGGTCTGTTAATGAGTCCAACAGCAAAATGTGTCCCTTTGTGCATAATAAATGGATTTTTGTTGTCTTAGCAACTGCCAGAAAATGTGCCAACTATCAATGTAACAATCTGCTTTGTCATCAGGGTGACAAGTTAACTACCTGTCCATGGTATATCCAGTTATGCCCATATCTTCTAGCTGACT